AAAGTCGATGTGATATTCCCCATGCAGACTTGCACAAGGAACTATATGTTTGATGATGTGAGCCAGTGTTTTAGGCTGTGTTTGAGGAGGAAAACGGGGATGGATATGCCAGAAATAGACGGAATTATCGAGTAGTAACGGGTCAATATCCATTATATCAGCCTGATTTCCTGTTAAGTTGGCCAGGCAGACACAAATAATGAAACAAGTCGAGATGGTCGAGTCTATAAATTACTGATCAAATATCAATATTTGTAGAAAACCTCTCGGAGTAACAATCAAATATATTCTGACATTACATTTTGACAACAGAAAAGTAAGATCATGCATGAAGCTCTTTTGAAAAAGTAAGGCCCTGTTCTCTCCTCTTTACCGTTTTCGGACCGTTTTCTGTTTTCGATTTTTCAAAACGGTGAAAACGTGTTCTCTTTCCCGTTTTCGAAAACGAAAAAAAAATTATGAAGAAAACACAAAATGACTTTTTTGTCGTTTTGGGCGTTTTCAGTGTAAAATTTGAAAAAATTGAAAACGTGGGAAACACCATTTTTTTTTTTGAGGAGGTGGTGTGGTGATTCTCAAAATTTCAAAAAAAATTAAAAATTAATTTTATTTATTTATTATTTATTTTGGTGTTTTAAGGTGATGTTGTGGTGATTCTCAAAATTTAAAAAAAAATTATTTTTTTTTATTTTGAGAAACTAACAAAAAGAATGTTTTTTTAACAATTTCAAAACAAACACTCAAAACACAAAACTTAAACACAAAGAGAACACCTCCTAAACTTTCCTTTATTTGCTGAGAAAAAGCGTGAGCACAAACACTCAAAACACAAAACTCAAAATGAATTTAAAACTCAAAACACAAAACTGAAACACAAAGAGAACACCCCCTAAGTTATCTATTATAAATATAAACGAAAAGTTACTTTCAAATAATATCTAAAAACCTTCTTCAAATATACTTAAAAGTAAACTTTAAAAGCTTCAAAAATATTTAAGCTTAAAGTTAATTAATAATAACAGTGCAATTTGGCTGTGTATATATATATCATAGTATACATGAGACATGATAGAGAAAACTGGTTGAATAAAAAGAAATTAAAATTGAAAATTTTCAATTTGTTTCTTTTTAGAGTGGAGATTACGTAAAATCAATAATTTGTTGATCAAAAATTAATTCTCAACATTCTTTTCAAGTCAATGAATCTTGATTGTTAGAATCAACGAGTCTAAATTATATCAATTTAGGCCTTTTTTTATATATATTAATGGATTTCAATCATAATCTTCAATAGTTTTGCACTTCTCACTCTGCAACATTATAAGAGCCAAAACTTTTATCAAAAACTTTGTCAAACGACACCTAATTTGCAAGAATGAGTTGGCAATGGCATCAAGATCCAAAATTGGAAAACAAAGATAATGGATACTAACCAGAGTATTAAAACTTGATATTCCATTTTAGAAGGTCAACAGTAACTCAATTCTTTATAAATTTGTTTATATTTTTATTTTTATTCGATGTGAGGTTTTATAACTTAACATGCCTCGCAAGATGGTGACTTGTTTGAGCAAATTGTTTGCTAAAATATATGCCACAAGCGCATAGGTATGTTCAAGTAATACAGTAGATGTTGAGTCTTAGTCGATCCCTCAAATGATATTTTTCCAATCACATGATAATTTATTCAAATTAAAGATAAAGATACACACAATTAAAATTTTTGAAGTTCAAAATAAAAAAATAATAATTTTAGAATTTAATTAAACTAATAATTGTGAGAGTCATATGATTTTGGATTTAAATGAGTTTGGATTTACGATATCATACAACCATCGTTTTATTAATATATCAATAAATCAAAAATGTAAATCACCTAGTTACAATGTTAGACTTGATTTTTCAATTTTAGTTAATTACCTCTCTCGAGCGAAAATAATTCTAGTTTATCTCAATTAACTGGAAATATAAATCATCCAGGATTAGGAGTATATCTCTATCTCCGAAAACAACCAAAGACATCAATTATTTTGATCTGGAAAGTACACCAATCTTTCAATAATTGCATAAATTATCACCTAACACAATCATCTATTGGCCACATAAATTATGAAAATGTAAACACAATAAAAAAATGCACAATAACAATGGCAAGTTATCATTAAATGGTAAATATTGATATTAATGAAACTTAGGTCAAGTTAAATCATAAATCCCAACTTTAAACACTTAATCCATTACACAATAGAAATAGAATATGGAAATAGAGATGAAATCCATTACAAAATGAGGAAGATAATAAAAAGAAACAAGACAACATAAGAAACTCATCACTTGAATGTATTCTTGAAATGAAGGGTTGAAATCTTGAATCTTCATTTGAAATCCTAAATTTTGTTTTGTATTTCTACCCTTTCTCCTACTATTTTTATCTCAAGCCTAGGGTTTTTCTGTGTTCAAAGAGGTGAAAGATTGAATGAGGTTAAATGGTTGAAAATTAAATTTAAAAGGGACCAAAAACCCTCCGTTTGCAAAATGGTCCCTGGATTTTAAAAGCAAAAACAAAACCCCCACTAGTAGTTAGGGCGCCTCAATGCCAGTGAGTGGTGCTTATGTGTCATGGTGCCTAGGCACTGGTCCAGTTTCTTTCTTTTTGTGGATTCAATCCTCTGAGTAATTGTGCGTCCAATCTCTCAACTTTTATCTTGTTCATTTTGGTCCTTAGATTTTGACTTTTCTTTTAATCACGTCCTCCAGAAATTGAAACCCAAGGTCCATAAACTTTTGGCATTTGTACACTTGGGGTTCCCAAACTCGTATTTTTGTGCACTTTTGGTCCTTTTTCCTTTCTTTAAATTTCTTCTCCTCCAATTTGGAATTTTAGTCTACAAAAGCAACAATTACACAATTGTGAAAAGAAATTTGCTCAATTTTATTAATAATTAGCTCATTGAAGTCTCTAATAAGGGTGTAAAAACACACATATCACGGATCAATCTTGAAATCAGTATATGGGATTTAAACCGATGTGAGATTTATTCCATAATGTGCCTCTACAAGAAGGTAACTCATTTGTGCAGACCAACCTTGAAATTCATGTGTTCATTTTTTAGTTCGAGTTGGATTGAATTGTTCATTGGACCCTAATAGGATCTGATACCATGTTGAGGTTTGAAGTTCCATCTTAAAATGTCAACATTGTTAAGAAGAATAGTTTAATATTTTATAAATTGGTCTATATTTTTATCTTTATTCGATATGAAATTTTATCCCTTAACATGGAGTATTTTAGGAGAACCAAGGCCAAACACTTCAATTCTCTGGTTTCTATTAGCGGTTTCAAAACATGAAACGAATATTTTAAACTTTTATCAACACTTATCATTGAATCGGCATTATCAAATTCACCACAATAGTTGGGAGCGGAAAAATTGTAACTAGCTGCCTATCAGCAAAAAAATCATATCCTTCTTCCATGACCTGCAAGAGAAAGAATCCGATAAATGGTAGAGATCACGGAAAAGGATGAAATTAAGAGGTTGATAGAATACTGCTACATTACCTGATGAGCACGACAACAAGGTCTATATTAAGCTACATTAAAATCCAGTCACCTTATCTACATCTACAATATATTAAAAGGAAGGATTGAGGAGAAACTTTTAAATACAAATTTTGCCATTACATATTTAGTTATATGTCCAATATACCCTTATTTAATTTTAATTTTGTTAATTGAAGCTTTTCAATACTAATTTCACCATTATATATTTAGCTCTATGCCCAATATATACTTATTTAATTTTAGTTTCGTCAATAATTAATTAATAACATTAACTCAATTAATTCAACTTGAAACTATAAAAATCCATTTTCTTTTCCATTTGTCAATAATTTCCTAAATTATTGTTTTTTAATATCACATTAATTTTATTAACAATATTAATTCAATTTGTCCAACATGAAATTGAAAAACGGGAGTTGTTTAAGGAACTCAAAGGATGGCCTTAGATTCCCCTTTTTAGATAAAAAAATAAAAATAAAAATAATATCTTTTAACTTGATTAATAGCATTAATTCAAAATGAAATTGAAAAATGGTTAATAATTTCCTAAATTAATTTTTTTAATCTTACATTAATTTTTATGATAGTATTAATTCAATTTATTCAACGTGAAATTAAAAAATGAGTATTGTTTAAGTAACTTAACGGATAGCCTTAAATTCCCCCTTTGAGATAAAAATAAAAAATAAAAATTTTGATTAATAAAATTAATTCAAAATAAAGTTGAAAAATTAATGTTATTTAAAAAGTTCAAAAGATTACCTTAAATAACCATTTATAGAAATTAAAAAATATATATTTTAATTTAATTAATAGCATTAATTCAATTATCTTAAGCTTTAATTTTCAATGAAACACATATTCTAATTAGTGAACTACAATTCTTCTTTGATGGAATTATGATTAATTCAGCCACCAATATCCATGAATTTCTTGAATGTCTTGTTTGTATCAATTTTATGTATTCTCTCAATTTTTGCATTATAATATTCACATTTTTATATACTTTACTTTCTAAATTTGATTTGACATATTTATATTCAAAAAGATCAGATAATAATTTTATAACATCAAAGTAAGAATCCTTTTTTTTTGTTCAAATATTATTTGCATGTTTTAATTTGTAATTTCATTTAGTATTTTAGATTTTTATCATTATTCATGAATACGTTAAATGATTTCTTGAATTTGAAGGTTTATTATATTGTTTGTAGTGATGATGTATAGCTTGAGTAAGTAGATTGATGAGTGATACTTCACTCATTAAATTAATGTCATTTAAGCGTATTAATTAGCTAAACTTATTGAGTTATTGATGTTTTAACATGAGATTCTCATGTTAAATGCTAGGTGGTTAAAGTGGTGATTGAACAAGCTAAAAGGAGGAAATGAAGAAAAAAGGAGGAGATGAAGAAAAAAGGAGAAGGCAGTGTACTGCCCAATCGATCAACAGCGAGAAGAAGCAGAATTCGCAGCGCCGAGGCGCCATCTTGCGAGGAGGGAGAATTGCAAAATTTTTGGACTTAGTTTCACGACCCATTCCAGCCCTAATACCTCAATATTCCAACCACTATAAATACCACAAGAAGGACCAGAAAATTAGGGGAGCCGCATAAGAAAAATCTTTGGGTTCAAGCCATGCACGGGATTGGAACGGCAAAATTAGGGGACAATCTGGAGAGGAATAGAGGGAGATTCAGCTGGTCAATTTGGAGGATTCTAGGGAAACTGGAGCTGACAACTTCAAGGAAGGTTGACTGCCTCAATTAATACAACTGGCGGCTGCTGGACAATTGAAGAATTCGGCCGGCAAACACATCCAATTTGAAGGGGACGACTGGACACATTTTTGAAAGGGGGACAACATCAACCATTAAAGAAATCAACCGAGTCCGAGAGGCGTGAGAGATATAAAAGGGGAGAATTGATTTAACACTTTAAAATAGTTTTTATCTTTCTTTCTCCTTTATATTTTTTATTTTAAATTGTTTGAATTTCCTAGATTTAATCATGAGCTAAAAAAATTATCTAGGGTTGAGTAGCCGAACTCGAATTTATGGTTTGATGAATTTCATAATTATTTAGTTTAAATTTCCCGCTTATATTTAATTGTATCATGATTTTAATGCTTCAAATTGCCTGATCAACAATTGGATGATTTGATACTAGTCAATTTCGGTGCTCGAGAGAGTGGGAATTTAGGCGCGATCATAAGATTGATACAATGTAGAATTTATATGTTTCAAGAGAAAGTATAAATATATGAAGCTTACTCCATAAAAAAATCGGAACTTTATTAAATTCGTGATTTTCAATTTCGAATAGAGATGTTGGAATTGGGGTCTAAGGTTAATTTCTAATCGGTGCTCGAGAGATGGGGTTAGAAATACATTAGGGTTCTTACTTTTAAATAGGGGAAAATTAATCGAAGTAATTGGAAGTCGTTGAATCATAATTGAGAGTTAGGTGAAATCAATCCCTAGGCCTTCTCATTTGATTAGTGTATTATTCAATTCATCAACATTAGTTTAGCATTCAAACATCAATTTAACACCCGATTGTCTAGATAAAGTAAACGCGGACACAATTATAGTACTCAATGGAAGTCGAATATCAATCCCTGTGGATTCGACACTTTTCTATTCCTTAATATACTACAAAACTTGACACCGTACGCTTGCGGTTAAATCACGTTACATAAAACGCGTGGCAAGTGTTTGGCGCTGTTGCCGGGGATTGATTTATTCGATTTCAATTGATATTATTACCAATCGGCGTTCATTTTACTTTAGATTTTTATTTCTATCGTAATTTTTATTTTTATTTTATTATGTTTGTGTCTATCTTTAAGAGCTTTCTTGTGGTTATTTTCGGCTGTTTATGCGAAGGGCGAGAAATCTAGACCTACTACTTGTTGATCCTGAACCAGAACGCACATTTCGCATTCTCAGAGGTATAAAAAGAAATGAACGGGAAGCAATGGCAAATCAGGATGCTAGAGCAGCCAATGAGGATAACTAACAAAGGGCTATTTGGGACTACATAAGGCCGGTTGTCAATGGCAACTATTTTGACATCGCACACCCAACAATTGCTGCAAACAATTTCGAATTGAAATCAGGGTTGATACATATGGTGCAGCAAAATTAGTTTTAGGGTGCTGCAACAGAAGACCTAAATGCTCATCTTCGATCATTTTTGGAAATTTGTGACACGGTGAAGATGAATGGAGTTACTGAAGATGCAATTAGACTTCACCTATTCTCTTTCTCTTTAAGGGAAAAAGCAAAGGCTTGGTTTCAGTCACTACCGTATGGCTCGATTATAACTTGGGATGATTTGGCTCAGAAATTCCTCATCAAGTACTTTCCACCTTCTAAATCAGCTCAACTTCGCGGTGAAATTGGCCAATTCAAACAACTCGACTTCGAGCTATTCTATGAAGCCAGGGAAAGATTTAAAGACTTGCTTAGGAGATATCCTCAACATGGGTTCCAGAAATGGGTGCAAATTGAGATATTTTATAATGGGTTGAATGGGCAGACAAGGACTATGGTAGATGTAGCTGCGGGAGGCATTTTAATGGCTAAAATAGCAGAGGCTGCATATGCTTTATTGGATGACATAGCTACCAACAGTTACCAATGGCCAAGTGAGAGATTGAGTGTAAAGAAAGCAGCAGGACTTCATGAAGTGGATCCCATCACAGCACTAGCAGCTCAGGTTGCATCACTCACAAATCAAATAGTCACGCTTACCACTCTAGGAAATCAACAGAAGGTAGATTCAGTCATGAGTACTTCTTCATCACACCAAGAGATAGAGGTTGCAAACGAGCAGGCCCAATAAGTCAACAGTAGAAACTACAATCAAAGAGAAAGCTACCAAGCTAATCACTATTATCCAGGGCTGAGGAATCACGAGAACTTGTCATATGGTAACAATAGAAACACACTTCAACCTCCACCTGGATTCAACATTCAGAATTCTGACGGAAAACCACCCTTGGAAGACATCCGTGGGACATCCATTTCTGAGACAAGATCACGCTTCAACAAAATTGAATCACGGTTGGATAATATTGAAACACATGTGTCCAACATGGGAGCCACAATGAAAAATCTTGAAGTGCAAATTGGTCAATTGGCTACCTCAATGGAGTCTCAACGACAAGGAAAATTTTCAAATGATACAGAAGTCAATCCAAAAGAGCACTGTAAAGCCGTTGTATTAAGGAGTGGTAATCAAGTTGGAGAAAGTGAACCCACCGAAGATAGCAACCCCAGAAATGATAAGGAGAAAGGATAAGTAGTAGAAGAGTAAGAAAAGCAGGCCAAAGGAACAAATAAGGCTCACAGACCTTACTCCAAATCCTTCCCTGACAATCCACCAATTCTCACACCACCACTTCCATTTTCATAGCGTTTTCAAAAGAAAAAAATTTGATGATCAATTTGAAAATTTTTTAGAAATTTTCAAGAAAATTCACATTAATATTCCTTTTGCAGATGCTTTGGAACAAAGGCCAAATTACGCAAAGTTTATGAAGGAAGTGATGTCAAAGAAGCAAAAATTGGAAAAATATGAAACAGTAAAATTAACAAAAGAATGCAGCGCTATTCTTCAGAAGAAACTTCCTCAGAAGAGAAGATCTGGGCAGCTTCACTATTCTATGCACCATTGGAAGCTCTTCATTTGAAAAGACTCTCTGTGATCTAGGAGCAAGTATCAACCTAATGCCGTTATCAATATTCAATAAGTTAGGCCTCGGGGAAGTCAAGCCAACAACAGTAACTCTACAACTGGCTGATAGGTCCCTCACTTACCCACAAGGTATTATTGAAGACGTGTTATTAAAGGTCGACAAATTCATCTTCCCAGCTGATTTTGTGGTACTGGATATGGAAGAAGATCAGGAAATCCCACTGATTTTAGGTAGGCCATTTTTAGCAACTGGAAGAGCATTAATTGATGTGCAAGGAGGACATTTGACATTGAGAGTGAATCAAGAAGAGGTGAGGTTCAACATATATCAAGCAATGAAGTACTCGGACGACACTAACACGTGCCACAGGATTGACTTCATTGATTCTGCTGTGAATGATGAGAAACTATATATTGAGGATCCTTTGAAGCAGTGTATGATGTTTAGTTCAACAAAGGATGACATCAGCTCTTCTGGATAATATGCAAGGAGCAAAGACCTGGTTGATTGCATATTGGCTCTAGAATCTACACCAGTTGAAAACAACCTGTCACATTGTGAAGATATTCAAAAATCAGAGGAATCAGATGATAAAGAAAGCAGCGAAAGCAGTAAGATTGAACTGAAACACTTACCAGATCACCTCCACTATGCATTTCTGGGGGACAATTCTGCATTTCCAATGATCATTTCTTCATCACTCACCAGGGACGAAGAGGACATATTATTGAAAGTGTTGAGGGATCATAAGGTTGCTTTAGGCTGGTCGATATCTGACATCAAGGGGATAAGTCCTACAGTCTGCATGCATAAAATCCTCATGGAAGATTCTTACAAGCCATCCATCGAACATCAGAGAAGGTTAAACCCAGCAATGAAAGAAGTGGTTTGAGCGGAGATACTAAAGCTATTGAAGGCAGGAATCATTTTTTCTATTTCAGATAGTGACTGGGTCAGCCCAGTGCAGGTGGTACCAAAGAAAGGAGGGATGACATTAGTTAAGAACGACAACAATGAGCTAATTCCAACTAGAACAGTAACTGGCTAAAGGGTGTGCATTGACTATAGAAAGCTGAACAAGGCAACCAGAAAGGATCATTTTCTACTCCCGTTCATCGATCAAATGTTGGACAGATTAGCTGGTTACTCATACTATTATTTTCTTGATGGATATTCGGGCTACAACCAGATCGCTATAGCACCAGAAGATCAAGAAAAGACAACATTCACTTGTCCCTATGGAACTTTTGCCTATAGACGGATGCCATTCGGGTTATGCAATGCACCGGCCACTTTTCAGAGATGCATTGATGGCAATCTTTGCAGACATGGTTGAAGACATCATGGAGGTATTTATGGACGGCTTCTAGGTGTTTGGCACTTCTTTTGATAACTGCCTTCACAATCTCTCCTTAGTGCTGCAACGCTGTGAGAAAAAGAATTTAGTTCTAAATTGGGAAAAGTGTCACTTCATGGTACAAGAAGGAATTGTGCTAGGCCACCATGTTTCAGCAAGGGGACTGGAAGTGGACAGGGCAAAAATTGATACAATTGCAAAGCTACCACCACCCACCAATGTCAAAGGCATTCGAAGTTTCTTAGGACACGCTGGATTCTACAGGAGATTTATCAAAGACTTCTCAAAAGTGGCAAAACCCCTATGTAATCTTTTAGAGAAAGACACAACATTCGTATTTGATGAAGACTGCTTACGGGCTTTTGAAACCATAAAGGCAAAATTAGTCACTGCTCCAGTGATGGTAGCACCAGATTGGGATAAGCTATTTAAGGTTATGTGTGATGCCAGTGACTACGCAGTAGGGGCAGTTTTTAGACTACGGAGTGATAAGATTTTTCAGGCAATCCACTATGCCAGCGAAACTCTTGATGGAGCTCAACTAAATTACACCACAACAAAGAAGGAAATGCTAGCAGTAGTGTTTGCATGTGATAAATTCAGATCCTACCTCATTGGCACCAAAGTGATAATTTACACTGACCATGCTGCAATCCGTTATCTCTTTGAAAAGAAGGATGCCAAGCCACGCCTAATTCGATGGATATTGCTACTACAGGAATTTGATGTAGAGATTCGGGATAAGAAAGGCAGTGAGAATGTCGTTGCAGACCATCTCTCACGGTTAGAGAATGAAAAGGTGGTAGATGATAGTCAAATTCGAAAAACTTTCCCTAACGAGATCTTGCTAGCTATATCAACAAAGATCCCATGGTATGCTGATTTTGTTAATTACTTAGTGTCTAGAAGATTGCCACCTGACTTGAGCTTTCATCAAAAGAAGAAATTCCTTCATGACGTCAAGTCATATCTATGGGATGATCCAATATTGTTCAAAAGGTGTGCTGAAAGAATAATCAGGTGGTGTGTCCCTGTGGAAGAAACACAATCAATCATGCAGCATTGCCATTCTTCACTTTATGGAGGTCATTTCGGTCCTACGCGTACTGCTACAAAGGTATTACAATTTGGTTTCTATTGGCCAAATCTGTTCAAAGACTGCTATGCTTTTGTGAAAACATGTGACCGTTGTCAACGTACTGGAAATATTTCAAGATATCATGAGCTACCATTAACTAATATACTTGAAGTGGAATTATTTGATGTGTGGGGTATTGATTTCATGGGTCCGTTCCCACCTTCTTTTGGTTAGGTATACATTATCTTTGCAGTTGACTATGAATCTAAATGTGTTGAAGCCATTGCTACACCAACAAATGATGCAAAGGTGGTTTTGAGGTTTCTACAGAAAAATATATTTACTCGTTTTGGCACGCCTAGGGCAATAGTAAATGATGAAGGTACACATTTATGTAACAAGCTGTTCAACTCTCTTCTAGCTAAGTATAATGTCAAGCACAAGTTGGCACTTGGTTATCATCCACAGTAAAATGGGCAAGCAGAGGTGTCTAATAGAGAGATTAAACAGATTTTGGAAAAGACGGTGAACACCAATCGAAAGGACTGGTCTCTCAAACTAGATGACGCTCTTTGGGCATACCGAACAACCTTTAAAACACCAACTGGAATGTCACCCTACTGTCTGGTATTCGAGAAAGCTTGTCATCTACCGGTGGAATTGGAGTTTCGAGCTTATTGGGCTGTGAAAAAATTGAATTTAGATATGAAATTGGCCAGTCCACAGCGCTTGTTGTAGCTTGATGAGTTGGAGGAATTCTGGAATGATGCATATGAAAATGCAAAGATATACAAGGAACGGACAAAAATGTGGCATAACAAGAGAATCCTAAGGAGGGATTTCAAGGCAGGAGAGCGAATTCTTCTATTCAATTCTTGCTTGAAACTCTTTCCTGGCAAGCTGAAATCCCGGTGGTCGGGACCATTTGTAATTCGTAAGGTGTTTCCTTATGGTGCAGTGGAGTTAGTAAGCATGGATGGGTCTACCTTTCAGGCAAATGGACAACGTCTTAAACATTACTATGGAGAAGAAAACCGTGATGTGGAAGAAATTACCCTTGATGAACCAACTTAACACCACATTCACGTCCAGCTAAAGATGTAGAATAAGCGCTTATTGGAAGGCAACCCAAGCATTTTATTTTTATTTTTATTTCGTTTTTTGTTTTTGATTACTAGAATAGTTTAAGTTATTTTATAGTTTCTATTTAGGAATTCATCGACCATATCCCATCTTCCCTTAGTTTTATAAGTAATCAAGTTGGTTATTATTTGTTTGAGTTAAGTAACACTTGTTCCACGTATTTAATATCTAAAATTTGAATTTTCAGGAACATGACGTCGCGGAACAATCATACCAACTTTGACAAGGAGAAAACATGAAAAGTCTCAAGTTTGGGAGAAAACTAGAAGAAACGTTCATCAAATTCAACATTAGAGCACCAGATCATCGCTGGCAATTCAGACAATTCAAGGAAGTCCTCCTATTTTTCTTTTAATTTAACATTGGGGACAATGTTTAGTTTAAGTTTGGGGGGAGTGTATTATAAATTGTTTAATTGCCTAAATTTTTTATTTTGTGTGATTTGTGTGCAATTTTTTTGATTTATATGTTTAAAAAAAACAATTTATTTGTTTATTTTTTTCTATTATTTATTTATTTAATTTTTATTTGTGTGCATTGTCAAAAAAGAAATAAAAATTCGTGTTTTTGCATGCTTGTATGAGTTAGAAAGCCTTGCCAGTGATGATATATATTATTGAGAACATGTGTTGATTTATGAATTGTGGACGAGTTATGTATTTGAGTTAGATTTTTACTTATTCATGTAAAACAGAAATTATTTTTGCATGTGAGTTAACTGTGACGTTGTGCATGAGTAGGTTGATTCATATGTATAAGTTGGATTAGAGAATTTAGATGCTAAACCCAAACAACTTTTGAACATCATATTACCTTTAAACCAAATATAAGATGTTTGGTAGATTAAGCTGTTGTAGGGAAACTTGGAGATAAATGTGGATTCCGTGCGTGCTAAATTTTGTGTGGACTATTTGAGATTAATATGATGAAAATTGGGTGAAAATCTTAAGTTAGAGGTCGATTTTTGAGAATAAGTGTTTAATAATGGGCATTGCAGCTTTTATGGCTCGAGTGATTAAAAATCT